CACACAGTTCACCCTCCAATAAATGTGGCTCCACATGTACAATGGTGTTTGTTGAATCTGTAAAGACAGTCAAATCCACCATGGCTACCTTTATCGCTTAGGGCTTTCTTTCTTGCCTCCACGCTCATGTGCTCTGATCTCTGCTCAGCAGCTCAGCTCTCTCCTCTCCTATCCCCATTAACTGCCTGACAGATCAGTAATAAACACAGCCTGTCACATTCAAGGCCTACCTCTCATTTACTAGAGAACACATGAAACAGTGCTCTCTCATTCTTCTTTCTTCTTCATCCACAGGGCTCATTCAAGCTGAAATCTGATTTTTGGCCCTGGATGCCTCGGAGGCAGCAAGTTCTTCTTTACACCCCGATAGTACAGAAACAGGCATGAATATTAGATGGGATATCCATGAATAAATAACCATAACAGGACTTCCACTACTCTGACCTCTTTCTGTGCCTCACAATGAATGGCAGAGGAAAGGAATGACTAAAGAAGAGAGGGACTCTGGGGGGGTGAGGGGAGGGAGGGGGACATGACCAGCTCAGACACGGTGAACATGTGTTAGACTATTTCTCTATTTGCCATCCCATTGTGCTGTGATTCCACACGTGAAACAACAACAATTACAAGAATAATAATAACAAGGGTAATAACAAGCGAACAGTGCAGCAGATTGTTAGTTTAACAAGACTGAACTCAAGTCTTTTCAGTGGGGATATATCCTGTTATAGCCATCTGTGCAGAGAACCAGAGCCATACATATGGCACAAGCTCAATAATGCATGTGTGGGAAAAGCAAATTAAATAAAACAAAAAGCAGGAAACGTAATGTATACAGAGCTGAACTGAATGCATAATACCAAATAAAGAGAATCATTTATTTGCCATTCATTCTTACTAGTCCCATGGCTCAGGATTGTTACACGGGAACAAGTAAATATAGATTTCTTTTTGCCTCAAGCAATTCCCAAAAGTGTGCTCAATATGTATTGCCCTGGATTTCACTGGTCTGAACACAAGAAGACATGATAAAACACGACCCAGTGGAAACGAGTGAATAAGTTACTGTGTGTGCTGCTCCTATAAGCTGTGGTTTATTCAAGGAGAGAGTGATGAGACAATTAGAGAAACCTAATTTCAGCCGGCGGACGACATCAGTAGTAATTGCATTTTCAACCTGAGCAAAAGTCATAGAGTATAAAAATAACTAGACAGACAGAGACACATCTACACACTCACTTATATTTATATATGGGAAAATAATACATATATACATATGCACACACTATATTCTTATATAAATATATATATTCTTATAGTTTTATATATATATATTTATATGTATGTGTGTGTGTGTGTGTGTGTGTAGAGCAAAGCAAGTAATGTAGTGCGTTGCACCACTGGCATGCAGCCCAGGACATGTCTGCAGAGAATAAAATCAAACTCCTGCATTGCTGGATTTAGGTTCCCCAGCTCTACCTGCTGTTCCAAAACCCTTTTGGACCCCTACTGCTACAGTGGAGTAGATAAAATCTAACTAAATAATAAAATAATAAAATACCTTTGAACTACTCTCAGCAAAATGGTGATTGCTGCCAGCAAATGATTTGCCATCACTGTAGGAAGCCAAGAATTGCTACGGGTTCACGTCACCACATGAAGTGCTTAAATACTTTGTAACTGACACAAGGCATGGATTCATCTGTGCTATTGATTTACTATACTCAGTTATGACGTACGAGTTTTGTGTGTTTCTTTACACATAACTACAAATCCATAATTTCATTAGGAATTTTAGAAAATGTAAATTTTCTAAAACCCAAAGAATGCAGAAATAAAAATACAAATAAACTGGATTATCTGGGCAAAGCAGAGACTGAAAAGGCTGGGTGTGTGTACATAACCTGACAATACAGAAAATGTCCGGTTATTAAGAGCATAAAGGATGTTGGAGGTTGGTGTGAGGAAAAGAAAAGGGAAATGTGGCTTCATGTCAGAAAGCCAAATAGCTTTCAACACCCTGACTGACCTTCTGTAGTACACCCACACACACATTCATACACCACCCCCAACACATACAGACACACCAAGTCCAATCTCAGTGCGCGCACACACACACACACACACCCATACAGGATGTGGTCATAAACCATAATGCACATCCCTTATTACAGGGAGTGGGACTTGGACTTCTGCCATTTTAAATGCCACAGACTCCTCCACATGATAATGACTGATTATCCTGAGGTTGTATCTACTATATTATATTATCTACAAAGCCAAGAGGGAAATTATTACATAGGCAGCCAGTGCAGTTGCCATTTTCGACAACGCTCACAGTACAGTGACCTGGATAACTGGATAACAACATTACATGTAAAGCCTTTAAAAAGACCTTAGTACTTGATGCGTTTGCTCTATTGACCTTTATCGAACTAAGCTGATATAAAGCTAGGATAGCATCTCACCTGCATTTTGACAAGAAAGCTAAAATGCTGGTGGGATGCAAAAACTACTACACAAAAACATCAACTCAGTTCTCACCTTTAATGTCTACTACCACCTCCACAATTGATATGAAAATAAAAAGGTATGTGGTTGAAGCTCCTTCTGAATTCATGACAGCATTCACTCTTCTTGGAATGGAGTCCATCAGCTTGGCAGAACAAAGCTTTGCAATATCTGCCGACCTATTTCTGCCAAAAGTTTTCCCAATCTTACCTCTAAAACCTGGCATTTTAGCAGGGTTAACATTTTTCACTTCTTATATGCACTGAATGCTGCTCTCTCTCTCTCTCTCTCTTTCTTTTTACATGTTCACCTAAAGACTATCTTTGAGATGAACCTTGAGGTGTAAAATTGTAGCAGAGATGATGTTACTGTGGCACCACATCACAGAAAATAAATGTAGTGGAAACACTGCTCTGCCAATGATCCAAAATGAGGTGAAAAGTGAGAAATGTTATGTATAAATATAGTAAGAAATACTTACTACTGATATATACGTGTGTGTGTGTATAAATAAATTGAATCAAATTAATGTTTCAGCCTCCATTTCTATCTTAACACTGAGTTATGGGCACCACGCACAAACAGTTGGACAATATAAACCAAATACATGTATTGAAGACAGAGAAAGCAGGCGTGGGAAAAACATTTAGGATTATAGGATGAAGATGTCCCTCCACTAATATATACACACAAGCCTACAGAACAGATTTAAAACATCATGATGTACAAGCACAAATATAACACGACATTAACCTGGAGAAAGGAAACTGTGTCCTTTGTTGAGGAGTCATGAGAGGATGGCCGATGACAAAGACAAGCAGCTGGGACAGCTGACTAAGATCAGTGACAAAGCTCTGACCTATGACACGCAGAGGCAATTCAACTGAATGAGAATGAAAAATAATGAGAGATGGTGGAAAAAAACTGCCTGAAGAGAAAGAGTCTCAGTCCTTAACACAAGAGTACGTCAATATGGTTTAGCACAAATTGATCAAATCTTTATTTATAAAGCTAGTGTTCTACACATCCTACATTTAAGTCTGCTTGTAACGGCATCAGGTCACAACCTGTTTCTTTAGCCCGTCTAAGGGAAAAAAAAAATAAATCAAGGCCCAGTCAAATGTTCTTTCAGTCCAGAAAATCACAAAAAACAATAACTAGTTTTGAAGATTCCATCATTTGAACATGCATTTTTACTTTAATTTATATTTTAGTGTTTGCTTTGATTTTAAATAGTATTTTCAGGGTTTTAAAATTCAATTATATCATATATCTTTGTACATATATACTGTTTTGATTTGATTATGATCTAAAGCTGGGGGTTAACGGCTAACAGGGACAACAGTGGTATTAAATTACACATTTGTGCTTGAAGGTAGAATAACTGAGATAAGTAGTAAATGGTAGAAATACTGCAACACTGTGCTGTTGCTAGAGAAGATGTAGAATGTTAGTAGGTCGTAATAGTTGACCTTGTCGACCTTTTCACTGCAGGCAGTTTTTTTTAATGATTTGTAGAAATGTTATGTCCTCACAACAAAGACCCTACAGGACAAACGTCCTGTAACGTATGAGGTGATTTCACAGTCCCACTACTGCACATTTGGGAAATGTAAGAGGAGAAGGATAATGCAGCATCTGTGATTACATAAATTCCTGGGCAGTTCTCCACAGACAGGTACAACGACTCAAAAATAAGCTGCTGACTCAAGGAACCACAAGCCACTCACAGTTTAAATTATGTAGACACACTTCTCCCTCTCAATCAGTGCTTACTGCAGCAGACCCCACAGCATTGTGTCAGCACTTCTCATCAACTTCAGCCTTTTATTAAAAATTCTTATGACAGTCAAATGGCTAAACACTTAGATACAACCAAAAACCTGAAGCTACGCTATGATATCAGTGTTTGTCTGTTTTTTGTATGTGATGAACGTTTTAATCTTGCCATCACTTTCAGATTCACAAGTATCTGGTCTCCATTTCAGGGATATTAAAAGACACTTGTTCAGGTTTTCTGTTCAGCCTCTCATTCCCTGCCGATCTGGAAAGATGTGATGGAGGCACAGCTGCATTAACAATCCTCTCCAATCTTCCCGGGGTTTTGAAATATTAACAGAAGGGCTTGCAGGTACAACATTTTGCTGCAGCAGCAATCGTAGCCGAGGGAAAACGTGTTTGACTTCTATTATAAATCAAATAATACAGCAACAACATAGCACATCCAGGCCCGGCATGGCCCCCAGGCAACCTGACAGAAAAATTCCATCGTTACAGATAGCTCTCAGAGAGGATCTGTACATGTATACGGTATATTGCTTACACAGTCCAGGTAATCCTGTTTCAGTCTCATACTGTATATAAAGTCATCAGCAACAGTATATGTTATTAAAAGTCTTTTCTACACCAGGAAGACAAAAATATGAAACCCTGTGTCAACTGGGACTAATTTCATACACTTTTACAGACATGAAAGAAGTAGGACTTACAGATCTTGTGCTTCCCTTTCATTGGGAATTTCACCAGGAGCTCCTGGGGGTTGGTGCAGATGAAGACAAATGGGGAGGAGGACTCCTCGCAGGTACCAGGAAACTGGATTAGAGAGACAATCGAAAAAGAAAAGACAGTTTCAGCAGGGCTCATATTAAAGATGTAAAAAAAAAATGTTAAAAAGTCAGACAGCCAGTGTCCTGTCACAGCTGAACTGTTCCAGCCAGGACATCTGTTTTATATAAACCAGGGGAAGTGAAATAGACACACAGAATTCCACTAATAATCTCTTCTTTGTAGAAACCTGGAAGATGTCTTTGTCACTAGGTCACAATCTGCTTTTTTGTCCACAGACTGCAATTAAGTTCCTTTCCACCAGTTTTGGGAAAAGGAAAGAAGATGTTGCCATGCTTCAAAAATTCTAACAGGTGTCCATTCATGTTTTGTTAAAGATTTTCTTGTTCATTATTATTTAAATGCATCAAATACTGAAAAACGGATCAAAGAAAAAGTGGAACAGATTGAGAAAAATATAATGATAAAAACCTGTCAAAGCTGTTGAAGACGCCTGAGAGACGTGTCTTAACACGTTTCAGTTATTAACATAAGACACCCTCTGAATTTTGTAAAAAAAATGTATATATATATATATACACACACGTATATAAAAAGATGATTCATGAAATCCTCCATGTGTGACAGTGTAATTGAAAAACTAATGATGCAACTGTTAATGAAAGCATTTATAGTTTTTTCTACCAGGAAAAATGTAATTCTTCTTTTTTTTTTTTTTACGGTGAGACCCAAATTCAGACACATACAATAATCCATCCTCGTTCAGTTACTGGGAGAAGAATTACTATTGTAGCTAACACATTTTAAGTGTTTGTGTTGTCGAATAATTTTTACACTATTTGAGGAAACCGTTTAGGTGTCCATGTGTGGTGCATGAAGTAATGATGTTTGGTTTAAACATGGAAGAATATATTTGGGTTTTTTTTTTGTATTTTCCCCAAAAAAAGTATTTGGAGGTGAACAGTGTCACAGAACGACTGGCACTTTGCTTTGAAAATATCATCTATCTAAACATTACCATTACCTGGTAGCCAGCTCAAACTGCTCAAACTTTTTCTGTCAAGGGATGCAATATTTTATAAGGGAACGACCACAAACTCCTAAAACAAATGTATTATTGCACTTGTTCTTCTCCTAGAAGCCTCAGGATCAGAGTGCGATGTAACTTGATTTTCACCATAAGTCAGAACTCAAACTGTATGTCTGTCATTCAGATAAGCTAACACAGTGGTAACATCATAAGCTAGGACATTAAAACATTAGAAGAGTCTGACTTATGCTTGTGAGCCGCACATACACCCGGCCAATGTAAACAAGGCTGTCTACCACGTATAGCGCCTCGTGATGATGTAATCATCCACTCCACTTTGAAATTTGCCAACCAGTTAACTAGAGAACTAATTGGCAGAGTTTCACGCTGTACGTTGGAATGCTGGAACAAGACTTTCTCAATATGACGTCATTATGTCCTCGGTTTAAGAAGTCCTCTGTGCTGACTTTACTCAGTAGATGTTACACACTACTTTATCTCTTGTGTAAATGTTGTAGGTGTAGCATCTTGTATGATTGTTTTTTATCTACTTCTTACAAATGTGTTAGATTGTGAAAAGTGTGCAGTGATAACACAGTTTTCCCATCTTATCTCCCAAATGTTCTCAGGTCAAACTGTGTAAGGTAGAAAAAGATAACAACACAACAGTGTCCAAAAATACAGGGAAAGTTCTGACTCTTTCTGAATAGAACACCAGTTTAACATTTGGCAAAAATACTATGTAAAAACTGCTCATATGAAGTGTTTCTTTTTTTACAAACCATAACATTACAAAATATTTTTACTCTGATGCCATTCCGTATATATACTGTATCTGCTTCATCTAGTATCTCTAGGTAATTTAATTTTCCTTGAGCTGACATTTATTCTGATAATTAGACATAGTGACTCATGCAAAATGTGATAGAAAATTGGCCCCATTAAAACAAATCCTGTGGCATATTGATGCACAAGCTACAGTTAATGATGCCGTTCTACATTCCTATGAAGGAGGTGTTTGTACGGCACATAATTGACAGCAGCCTACAGCACATGGACACTGGGAGACAGGAGAAAGTCTCTCTCCTGCTGTGTTATTGATTGGCCTCTCAGGTGAGCAAAGGGAATTGACTGACACAGTGACAAAGGAGTCATCTCTTCCATCACTGGCAGCCAACGGCTCTCAGCTCATCCAATTTCCTTCAGCAATATCAGATAGTGCCCATGATTGCATCTAGCCAGCCAGGACGCAGCTCTTTTTACGACAGCATGCTTTTTCCCCTCTCTCTCTCTCTCACACACTCTCCCTCGCTTCAACTCTCTAATTCAGGTTTCCTATAACACTCAGAGGAGCACTGAAGGTTGTGACAAATTTGTCTCTTAAAGGGGGAAATCGGCCTTTATGTGAATGTGCTTCCCAGACTAGCTGTGGCAAAAATGATAGGGATGTTTATTTCAGATGAGAGGCCATGTCATGGTGAATGTAACACCTACAAGCAGACAGATTTCACACTCTTAGAGGTATTAGCTTTAGATGCTAAATTACACCCAGTAGTGCAATGACTTTAACTGAATCACTTGTGTTTTCTCACTACCCTTTCTGAAAAGGCTGACGTACCATTGCACAACAGAGAATGCAAAAGTCATCATAAACGAAAAAGTCCTATAAAAAAAGGCCATCTACAGAGCAAAAAGTCTCACCTCTGCTTGTTTGACCAATTATCATTTAGTGGCAGGAAGGTTTTAAAGCTTTTAAATAAGTACAAACAAAGTAGACAGGCTGCTGTTAGGGCTAATGCTATTGCTAACGTCCTCTGTGACTTTCAGTAAGGATTGGACTAACTAGCAAATGAAGGTCTATGCTTAATGGATAGCTGTTTGTTTCGGTGAGACAAATATTTTCTGATAAATACATCACTACTGTTGCAAATTATCCCCACAGTGATTTGATAATGAGCCAAACATGGTTTCAGCTGCTGCGAATTGATTGTTGAGCCCTTTGGCATCGTTTAAACAATAACAGAAAAAAATACTTTTTTTGGCAGGTTTGACTTTTTTGTAACTTGTTAAGGATGAAATCCAACAAAGCTTATCTTTTAAATTGATTTATACTGGTCCACAAAGGTTTTTAGATGATGATCAAAGTGGTTTGTAGAGTGTTTCTAAATATCACCCGCCAATAATATTAGAGAAAGATATGTCTTTAAAAGAGAAGATTTTATTTACCTGTTTCTTTTAAGCAATACTTAAATATCCCACAGACTTTTTATTGAATGATTTTCATTTTAGACATGGTAGGTGATTTGAACTCTGTGAGTTTAAAAACCCATTAGTCATGGAAAATCTATTGACGAGCTGATTTAGACATGCTGGATCACCATGTTTTCACACTTTTTCACCAGATGTTGCTAAATTGTTGTTCCCCAAATTCTTGCCTTAAAACAATGGCAACATACTAAAGATCAAAATGTTAAAAATGACCTCCTTGCTCTAAAAGCAATTTGCAACATTAACACTTTGATTGTTTGAGGTGAGAGATACAGCACACATAATGTTTGCAATGGATAGTTGAATCCGTTTGTGCAAAGTAAATTGAAAAAAAGTATCATGTTACACAAGATGGCTGTACTGTCTGTGGTACTGTACAAAAACAAAACAAAATGGTGGTGGTCCTTCCAGAATCAGAAATAGTAAGCACTTCTGCAGACAAAGCTTTGCTGTGCTCATGTGAGACCCCATGGTTGCTCACTCTTTCATCCTCCATTAGTTAATTAGCATTTAAAGCTGTTGAATGTGCTGCTTCGCCTCAGTACCTCACCCACATAATTGTTTCCATCCTATGGTCCTCTAAAGGGCATGAAACATTGCGGTTGTGACAGGAAGCATTTGCTTCAGAGCTACATATTCATCAGGAATCAAGAATCTAATGCTTGGACTCAAGTTACAAATGCAATTACTGAAAAAACACGACAGGTACTATAATCAAGAAATTGCCAACAATATAAATGTGAAAAATGACTCTCAATCTCAATCAGCTGAGAGTGATCCAAAGTCATTAGTATGTTCTCAGAATAGTAGGTCAACATGACTGCCTCAAGGGATTCTGGATAGTGCAACCAAAGTGTTTTATATGGGAAAGATCTGAGGGTGTAAATTTATTTAAAGCAACTGCAACGACACAGTTTGAGTCAACTACCCCTTTTCTAGCATAACAACAACATAACACGACTGTAGCATTTAAACTGTAAACAGCACATAGACCTTTTAGACACAAGCTAGCAACTTGATCAAGTTGTGTTGTTCCCTAAAGACTTTACATTAACATTTACAGTTACCTTGATCTGTATTCAGAAACCTTTAGACCTGTCCATTTCCTCAGACTGAATGCAGAGTATTTTAACAAGTAGATAAAATTATAAAGGACAGAATTCAAGGTATTTCACACAGCCTCCCGGCTTCTTCACTGACTGCTAACTCAATATATTGCCCACTGTTAAATATTATGGAATCAAGCCAAGGGGATTAAAAAATAACCAGATGTCATAATGTGGAATTCACAAGTTAATTTAAAAATGGAAAATGGATGCTGAGAAGGAAGAAGGTGGCTATAACAAAGTGACTCAGAGGGCAGGAGGAGGACGCAGTGTCCATGTGTCTCATACCACACATTCTAATAATAAAGTATCATGTGCTGAGATTCTTTCTTCTTATTAGCATTTCATCAGGATCCCTGACACAGCTCATCTGCTCTCTGCTGCAGTGGTCATTATTAGTACCACAACTACCAAAACAGTGTTTGATGAAAACAATATCCATCTTAATAAAACCACCTAATAGAGAGTCAGGATTTTTGCCAGAAGGAAGACAAAACCTTTGAATCCATGCTTGTCAAGTGACGATTCAACAAGCCAACACTGTTCTCTTCTCCTCTCTCTACAATGTCTCTCTTTCTGGCTCTATTCAGCTGCTGTCGGCAATTAAGGACAGCAGAGACAAG